AGAGAATGAATTAGCTTTCACAGAAGGAGTAACATGATCAGTCATTAATTGACGTTCTTGTTGAATAACAAGAGAAAAAATTTTGGAAATGGGAGGAAGAGGATCAAGAAGAAGAATGTGAGATTGTATATTGGTATAATGATCATTCAAACCTCGTAGAAGAAAGAATCGAAGAAACGGTACAAGAACATTTGGGCTTACAAATGCAGACGGGGTCTGGGCGGAAACTGTCAAGTTCATCCCAAATAACTATGAGTTTGGTGAAGAATTCGGTGATAGAGATCTCGCCTTGGGACAAGGTGGTAGCTTCCATTTGTAATGTGGAAATTCTTGCAAGATCGCCTTGGGCAAAGTGGTTCTTCAAGTCATTCCATATGTCAATAGCGTGATCCATCCTTATGATGCTTTCACGGATGGAAGGAGAAACAGAATGCAGGAGCCATGAAGCAACCATGCTATTGCAGCGGAACCAAGCAGGAAAGGAAGCATCAGTCTTGGCGGGTTGAATAGCTGATCCAAGAATGAATTCCACCTTGTTCTTAGCAGAGAGAGCCATAATGAAGGATCTGTTCCATGAATGATAGTTTGTATTGTTGAGTACGGGTGAGACAAGGGATATGGCGGGGTTTTCATTGGGGTGAAGGTAAAGATATGAATGGGTAGGATCTTGGATTGGGGGATGTGTTTCAGTGGTTGCCATTGAAGGGAAAGATAAAGAAAACAAGAACATGAGTGCAAGAATCAGAAAGCAGCAAGAATTTCTTTTGATACAATCATAGATTTACTATGTGGTGATGAAGAAAAAAGGCATATGAAGAAGAGAAAAGAGAAGAAAGAAGCCAGAGAACACAGGCTGAGTAAGCAGTAAAATCTTATTCACAATTCAAAAGTGATACAAGAGAAGAAATATATAGGGAGGAAGAACAGAAACAAAATAACAGAAAAAGGGCAGGCTGAGTGCAGGTCCAAAAGGAAACCAAACGGTTCAGGTCAGTGAGATCGAACGATCCACTGAACACCACAGTGGGACCGAATGGTCCATTGAACACAACAGTGAAACCGAACGGTTCACTGAACAACACAATAAGACCGAACGGTATACTGATCACCACAACCATTCAGTACTGAACAACACAAGACCGTTCGGTATAGCGAAGCCGAACAGTAGTAAAACCGAACGGTATATGCAGTATAACCGAACGATATATATGTTATCAA